AACGCAAGGGCCCCCCTAAAAACGAAACGAGTTTAGAACCAAATTTTTCCGTGGTTACCCAAGCCTACTATTTAATTATTTATTTGCTACATTTGTATACCGCCCCTCTCAGCCTGCAGAAGATTCAGGGCAGTTTAAAGTCAACATCAAAACATAAGAATACAATAAAAACAATTAAGATAATATAAAATCATGATAAAATCCATAAAATATGTGCCATTCAAGTCTCCTTATTGAAACATTATCCAATTACATTCGTCCAGTCAGTCCATTTTCCTATGTCCATTATGCTGTGTTTGCAAACGCTTGCTCGAAAAGCCATGTCTTAACTTTCTTCTGAAATGTTAAAAGGGAGTGGGCCAATCTAATATCCATAAGGAGGTGATTCCATAGCCGAGGGGCCACCACTGAGAAGGTCCTGTCTCTCGTCCCTGCTAGCCATGCTTGTGACAAAAGCGAGATCGAGAGCAGGTCCCCCACAGATGATCTTAAAATCCTAGAAGGTTCATAAGGGGAAATGCATTTGGACAAGTAAGTTGGGCCAGAACCGTTTAGGTCTTTATAGGCTAAAGCTAACACTTTGAATTGTGCCCGGTAGTAAACTGGCAGCCAGTGGAGCTGACGCAACAGAGGGGATGTGTGCTCCCTGAGCGCCACTCCTGTTAGCAATCTAGCTGCCGTCTTTTGAACCAATTGAAACTTCCAGACAGTCTTCAAAGGCAACCCCACATAGAGAGCGTTGCAGTAGTCTATATGGGATGTAACCAGAGCGTGGACTACCGTGGCCAAGTCAGACTTCCCAAGGTACGGGTGCAGCTGGTGCACAAGTTTTAACTGTGCAAATGCTCCCCTGGTCACCACTGAAACCTGAGGTTCCAGGCTCAGCAATGAATCCAGGATCACACCCAAGCAGCGAAACTGTGTTTTCAGGGGGAGTGTAACCCCATCCAACACAGGCTGTAAGCCTATGTCCTGTTCAGCCTTGCAACTGACCAGAAGGACCTCTGTCTTGTCTGGATTCAGTTTCAATTTGTTTGCTCTCATCCAGACCGTCACAGCGGCCAAGCACCAGTTCAACTAAAAATCAACCACTGGGATTCATGACATAATGAGGATCTGATTTCAGATCTCTCTAGTAGGGATGTGTGAAATGGCACAGAATCTGTTCTGTTTCCGTTCTGGTTTTGGGAAAATTCTTCCCAAAACAGAAATGGAACTATAATCTCCCGGAATGTTCCCGAAAACAAAACCGGGGGGATGGGGACCCAAAATCTGAAATGAAAACAGATCAAAAGTTCTATTTTGCCCAAACTCCATCTGTGTCCATGTTTGGGCATATGGAATATTCAGGTTTGGTCCAGATCCATCATTGCTTGGGTCCACAGTGATCTCTGGATGTAGGTGAACTACAACTCCCAAACTCATGGTCAATGCCCACCAAACCCTTCTAGTGTTTTCTGTTGGTCATGGGAGCCTTGTGTGTCACATTTGGTTCAATTCCATTGTTGGTGGAGTTCAGAATGCTCTTTGATTGTAGATGAACTATAAATCGCAGCAACTACAACTCCCAAATGACAAAATCATTATTTTTTTTTAGGGAAGGACATAGATTGGGTTGTTAGGTGTCTTGTGTCCAAATGTGGTATCAATTCATCCAGTGGTTTTTGAATTCTGTTAATCCCACAAACGAACATTACATTTTAATCCATATAGATTGTCTGGTTGATTGGTTTTCTAAACTTTGATTCTTTCCTTTCTCCCAACTTAGCTTTGTTTTAACTCACATTGGGTCCCATATCAGGACAAAAGTGA